TTGGTCCGCAACAAACGAAGGGAGGACTAAAAAATTGAGAAAGAAATGAGAAAAAATACCAATAAGAGGGAAAGGGAAAATTTTATAATACACAAGGAGTAACTAGTGGCATTTATAGTAGTTACTTCTGAACCCACTTTGACGAGAGAGATAGACACATAAAAAAAGAAAAAAATTACATCCATACTCACCAAAAGTGATAAGAAGATTTTCACGTCCGCTTAAATTTTTTTATTTTCTCTCTTATTTTCTTCTCTCTCTTTTTGTGTATCTATCTCTCTCCTCAAAGTGGACTCAAGGAATAACTACCGTACATGCCACTAATTACTTCTTATGTATTATAAAATTTCTCAAGGGAAAGAAGGAATGAGGAGCGAAATATGGAATGAGAACCGAATAAGTGGACCCTAAGCAAAACAAAATCTCATTAATGCAAAGAGGATCAATGACAAACAAAGCAAGAGAGAAATGGTTGATCGCGAAGACGAAGAGATGACCGAAAGAGAGTAATTGAAAGAGAGGTGCATTACATTGGACAAAAAAAAAAAACAAAGGAAATACTAATAAACCCATAGTAAATGATGTAAAGAATAATAACCACCATGGATAAAAGAGACAAAGACAAAAGCAATTATGAAAAGTGTAAAAAGAAAAACACAGAATATTAAATGAACTTACAAAAAAAGTAGAGCGAAAATAAGGAAAAACCGAGAAATAATGAAAGGGCGATAAGAAACCAAAAAAGGAGAAGGGAGAGATAAAGGTAGGGAGAGAGTAATTTAAGAGGGAAAGAAAGAGGGACCACATATGACGAGTCGAGAAATAATGAAACGGGGAGAAGCAACAATGAGAAAATAGAAATCACAAAGGGCAAGAAGAAAACACAAAGAGAGCAAGTCGAGAAGAGAGAAAAGAGAGAAGAGGTCGAACGAGTTAAAGGAACGAAACTTTGAGTCTATATCCATAGTGATTTTACTCATAATGAAAACGGTTTAAAATAGTGAACAAACATTGAAAGATCGTTTTCCTTTAGTTTTCTTGGTAACTCACAATGAATAGGGTTTGAAATAGTGAACAAACAAGTGAAAGATCATTTTCCTTTAGTTTTCTTGTTAATACTTGGACAGAGTTCCTCACAAGGCCTTTTGAAGCTTTATCTATCACGAGAATATAGGTTTGTAGATTTGGTTTCTCATCATAAATGAAAGTCATGCAAACCAATGCTAATGCCGATTTAATAGCTAAAAGGTACAATCCATATCATGCTTCTTGGTCTTATTAACGACTACCTATAAGGAAAAAAGGGTTTAGACTTTAGAAGCAAGCGTAAAACTTCTAGAATCTAGACGTTATTTTTCATTAACTTGATCTTACGGATCTAGTAGTATTCCTTCATTAGCAAACTTCATCCAAACCAATTACGACAAACTTGAAAAACCCTAGTATGTAAGAAAACCATCAATCTAACATTTATTTAATTGGATGTTTCTTGTCGTTTACTTCGTTTTTATCTCCAAAGAAGTGGGATGTGATGTGATTTTCATGTTCATGTGTAAGGCAATGTTATGATCTCTATCTAATGTTAAATCGTGTAAACAAACAATGCAAGTGTTCGTTGAATGTACATGGACAGGGAGTGTAGTAAGTCATAAAAGTGTCTTTTCAGCATTCTTCTCAAAATGTTATATTTATCTTTTCAAGCTTGAACTCGTACGAACCGAAGGTATAATGCTCCAACACAAATGATTATTGTTTGTCGATTACAATAATTTGTTAGCATATTTATGAATCGTAGGGCATAGTAGAAGATTCCATTAGGGGAACACAAAGCTATTCCGGGCTTCCAATGGACTAGTAAGTTTTGTCTTCTTACTTTTGAACAAATGTATGTTTAAAGCCCAACGAAACCCTAGCATTCCATTCCAAACCCATTTCATAGCCTCGCTCTATGAATATTGTTGGTTGCAAGCTTGTCAAAATTATTCCAATAGATTTGACTAGTTAGATACCTGCACTACGCTATAGTCGGATAATTATTATATATACAAGATTAACGATTCTTATGGCGTGATGCAAGCAAATTTTTTATTTTTCAAGATTAACATAAATCGAATCTATATATTAAGCAAACTTGATTGATTTATATATATTTATTAACAAGATAATTTATAATATTAGTATAAAAATTTATATTTGAATAATTAAAAGGTTATTTCAAAACATTAATTAAATTATTTTATTTAAAAATACAGATTTTAGAACTTGAAAAAATTAAATAAAAAATAATTTGGTGTTATGTATACATAAAAAATTAATTTCTAACAAAACTATATATATAAAAATACGGATTTTAGAACATGAAAAAAAATAGATATCAAATAATTTGGTGTTATGTAAATAGAAAAAATTAATTTTTATCAAAACTATATATATATATATATATATATCATACTTATTAGATTTAGAGTATATAAAATAAATAAATAAAATATTAAAAAATCACTTAAATCGCATGGAACATATCGAAGTAAATAGATTTAAATGAAAACTACTACAAAATTAGTTTCGATAAATTCGATTATATATATATAACCAAATAAAAAATTTGAGTTTTTTTTAACTAATTATTAATTTTTTAAAAAAATTGAGCCATTATTTTTTTAACTAATTATTATTTTTTAAAAAAATTAAACCAAATTATCTAAAACACACTTTTAACTCTCTCCCCCTCAACATGAATTTATATATAAAAACTCTCTCTCTCTCTCTCTCTATATATATATATATATATATATATCAAATTCCAAGTACGAAATTGGATTTCATATTCTTTCTTAATTTGCTTACAATTTCTTTAATAATGAATTAGATCGTAAAGGCTACCTGCGATATTTTAGACATTTTTCCTCAATTATAGATAGGGCGGTGCGTTTTACTATCATTTTGTTGGCACACCATGTCATTTCCTAATTTGTTCCTTGGGATAAATTCTTTAGTTCAATAAAATAATAGCGAGTATTCATACCAATTTGTTCTTTCCTTTCAAATAGCAGAATAATTTTTCCATATAGCTCGGACCGTGTGAAGCCATCTTTGGGGCCTCGACGTTTGATTTTAATCTAAGCCCATAAAGTCTTTAAACATATAAATATACGTACAAGGATATTCATAAGTAAATACATTGAGCAAGGGTGGGATTTATGCGCCATTTTAATGTTTTGATGATTTTATGATGCTTGGTGTTTATGTGAGGAATTAGGGAATGAATTTTTAGGTAAGCTAGCTAATTACCATGCATTTTCTTTCTCTCGTGTGTGTGTGTATGTGTGTGTGTGTGTGTGTGGAACCTATTATATAAGTGAGAAAGGTATGTTATAATGCAGGGAATGTTTAAAAATTTTTAGGAAGGAAATTGCCGAATTAATTCTTTAGGAAGAATGGTCGAATTTTTCTTGGAAAGAAATGGCATGTCCTTTAAACTAAACTAGCCTAAGGATTTAGTTAGCTTAATGACCATCTTTAGCAACTAACTAGACACCTAAGCACTTCATTTAATGTAATTGATGACAACTCATCACCTTTGACTACGAAATTGCCACCTTGCCTTCCAAAGTCTTCCTTTATTTTATACTTGGACAACTTAATTAAGGACATGTGGCGTACTAAATAATGAAGGCAAATGGAGTATATATAAGGAAAAGATGAAATTTAGCCATTTGTTTTAGTGAAATCCGTAGCTCACCCAAAAGAAGAAAAACAAAAACATCATTGAGAGGGAGAGAAACATGGAAAAGCAAGAGAGAAAAAGAAAGGAAAGAAAGAAAGGAAAAAAAGAAGGAAAAAGCTAGAAAAATCCTTAACAAACCTAAACTAAGTAAGTGAGTTTTATCTATGTCATCTATTTGATTTTTAAATGTTAATTTATGTAATTGATTAAGGTTTTGATTATGTTGTGTTGTGTTGGTATTGTGTTGGATGGCTTGGCATATAATTATTGGTTGTTATGGAATATGTAAGGCATGATTGATATATTGCTTATTAAGTTTGGAAAGCCTTGTGCATGGCTATGTTTGTGTATTGATAGGTTTGATTGAAAGAATTGGGGCTTGACTAAACCTTGGTGGACTAAACTAGGATTGATATAAACTTGAACAAAGTAAAATAGGAAGGAAGAGAAATTAAATTTTAGGGTTTTTCCTAAGGTGACTTTCGACTAAAATGGGAAAGATAGTACCTTTTTGATACTTAAGGACTTAAATTTTAATGGTGAAAAAATTAGGTTTAATTAGTCATTTTGAACAAAAAAAAAAAAAAAAGAGAAAGGTAAGCTTGCCAAAGAAACCGAGATTTTGACTTAAGAACTAAATTCAGCCTAAAAGTGTTAAAATCAGAGCTAGAAAGTAAAATTATACCTTACCATGTTGAAAATTGATCCAAATGCTAATAATGATGCAATTCAAGTGTGGAACGATTTAATGACGAGATTTACTAAAGGAAACAAAAAGGGAAGTATTCACGTACACAATTAGATCCATGACTCAATCAATACCAATTGTCGATCTTTAACTCTAACGAGGTGAACATTATGATAAAAGGTAAGAGAATACTCGAAACCCCGTGAGAGTTGGACCTATAAAAATATATGAAATCGACTCCGTATGGGTTAGATTTTAATACGGTAAATGTAACATCAAGTGCATCATGTGTATTGTGAGGTGGATTGAGAAAAGTTAATTGATTAAGAATTGGTTTACATGGTTAGGTTTGGTAACCTAGCTGGAATAAATGGGTGTTAACGATCCAGATTGTGTGTGTACTCTAATCTGTGTGATCGCACTATTGGGCGATGGATTTCGTTAATAGTGGCTACAACGAGATGTAATTTCATTGTTAGCATTAGGTGATTCAAGTAATCACCAATAGAGTAGACTTGCTAATACCTAGGGTACTAGGAATTAAAATCTATGAGTATGGTGAGAAAGTCGGTAAAGCATTGCATA